AATGGAACTGCAACCTCCTGGTTCATAGGTCGACGCTCAACCACTGAGCCACACGGGCCAGACACACGTCTGTCTTTAAATATTTGGAGGCTGGGAAATGCAGAGGAGGGTTTGGGCCGGTTCTGGCGGGCAGCACCACCTCCCGCCGCCCCCGCTGTGTTTTCCTTCACACGCCACTGGAACAGTTAAACACATATATTCATGGGTCACCTGCCGCGCCTCCGAGCCTAACAGGATTTGCTGACATAGGTGTTGTGCTTTCTCCCCAAATGCTATGGTTTCCAGAGCCCAGGAGAGGGGGAGGGGTTGGGGGCTGATTGCCCAGCAGATAAGCTCCTGCAGCTCAGCATTTGGAATGATTGATGGTCCCTGGGCCACTGACGGGAGAGAGGGCAGCCTGTCGAAACCCTCCCTGTTCCAGCCCCAACAACCCCGCTCTCTTATCTCAGTGAATTTAAAGTCCCAGGAGCCTTAGAGAGGCCCCACCCCCGTCATTTTAGAGGCCATCTCTTCACAAAGTCGCCTTTGAACACGGAAATCTACCCTACAGCCCTTGGTACTTGGGGGGGGCGGGGTGGGGTGTCATGCTTGCTGGCCAGTATCAGCGACCCCTGCAGCCCACTGGCTCCCGGGCGGTGGGCACGGAGGCCTGGGTGGCCCCGTCCAGAGGACGAAAGTGGCAGATGGCGGGGCAGGTGTTCCAGCGACTGAACCACCTTATCAGATGCCCGGGGGGCCCAGCCCCCAGCGGACAGTCCTGTTTTGTGAAGGTGGCAGGGGGAGGCGTCCCCCCTCCTCTCTGCCCGCCTCCCGGCTCTTCAACCTGCCCCGTGTGGGTCAGAGAGACATCCCAGGTGCTTGGCTGCGGACTGTCCCCTGTCCCCCAAAAGGTCCCCACGCTTTTCTCTCTAAGTGAATTTCCTCCCTCCGTCTTATATTCCAATGAAATGAAGACAAGGTCCCATTTTCTAAAGAACGTTATTTTTTTATTGATTTCAGAGAGGAAGGGAGAGGGAGAAGGAGAGGGAGGGGGGAGAGAGAGAGAGAGAGAGAGAGATAGAGAGAGAGGTAGGATGATGAGAAAGAATCATGGATCGGCTGCCTCCTGCATGCCCCCTAATGGGGATTGAGCTCAAAACCCAGGCGTGTGCCCTGATCAGGAATCGAACCGTGACCTCCTGGTTCTTAGCTTGACGCCCAGCCACCGAGCCACGCCAGCCAAGCTCTCTTAGCAACTTTCAAATATGCAACAGTGTTATACGCGATAGTCACCATGCTGTCCATTACGTCCCCCAGACGCATCTATTTTATAGCTGGAAGTTTGTACCTTTTGACGTCCTTCACCTATTTTGCCTCCTTCCCCCCGCCCCCCCTCCTCTGGCGATCACCAATCTGTTCTCTGTACCTATGAGTCAGTCTCTTTCCTTTCTGTTTCTGTTGCACGTGTACGTGAGATCACACAGTGTCTGTCTGTCTCTGTCTGACTCACCTAGCATCATGCCCTCCCGGTCCACCCATGGCAGGGTTTCACTCTTTTTCATGACTGCATAATACTCCAGTGTGCACACGAGTATGTGGACCACGTCTTCTCTGTCCATTCATCTGTTGATGGACGCTGAGTTGCTTCCACGTCTTGGCTAATGCGGCTCATGCTGCCATGCACACGGGGGAGCAATGAGCACTTGCTGCTAAGGAAAACCTGGCCTGGCCGTCCCCTGCTGTGTGGACCCACCGCCCCGTGCCTCCCTAAGCAGCACTTCCTGCACCCCATTCTCTGTTTCACGATGTGCGTTCTCACCGCTGGATTCTCAGCGGGTAAAAGGGAGAGCAAAGCAGGGAAAGGGGCCCTGGCTGGTGTGGCTCAGTGGATAGAGCGTCCGCCTGCCGGCTGAAGGGTCCCAGGTTCGATTCCTGGTCAGGGTACATGTCGGGTTCTGGGCTCGATCCCCAGTGAGGGCAGGGCAGGAGGCAGCCAGTCAATGGTTCTCTCTCATCATGGATGTTTCTACGTCTCTGTCCCTCTCCCTTCCTCTCTGAAATCAATAAAAAGGTGTTTTTAAAAAGTGGAGGGTGGAGGGGAGCAGGGGAAGGGAGGCCCTGTCCCTCCCCTCCGATGGCCCTCCGGCTCCTCCCTGGCCCTCTGGTGCCTGTGGCCTAAGGTAGACAGGACGGCGAACCCAGCTTAGCCACCCATTAGCCTCCTGCCCTCTGAGCAGGCCCCAGGCGGGGACAGTGGTTGGGCGAAGGCCCGTGCCTTGTGGGGGCCAGGCCACCCCAGCTCCTCCAGCCGCCCCCCCCCCCCCCATTGCAGGGCAGTGTGGGGACGGGGCCCGGAGGGACTGTTTGTTCAGTCACCGAGACAGAGGGCGATTGCCGGCGCTGGCGGGGGGACCCGGCCCCCCTCACCTGAGCGCCTCCCTGGTTTGATCAAATCTCGGTGTCTCACAATTACCTCTAATTTCATTGCTTTTATGGGAAGAAGAGTGCTTGTCCCTGCAGCGAAGATTCTTCATGTTCCCTGGGCTTTGGCTCCTCGGCCCGCAGCCTCTTCCTTCTATTTCCAGCCGTTCTCCTCCTTCCTGCCCCTGAGAATGGAAGGTGGACCAGCGGGGTCCCGAGGTGCCCGGGGACCCCTGGCTCACGGGACGTGCTCCACAGGGCTCAGCTAAGGCTACAGGAGGGACGATGCTGGGGTGTTCCCTGCCTCTCCTTCCTCCCACCCCTCCTACCCCGCATCCCAGGCACATCTAGAAAGAGGAGAGCACCAGACACCAGGTTTGACTCATTCATTCATTCATTCATTCATTCATTCATTCATTGAGCAAATACATATTAGGCGGCCTCTAATATGTGCTAGGCACTAGACAATCAAAAACGACTTGTTTTGTGCAGCTGCCTTGGTTCAGTGGTTGAGCATTGATCCAGTCCAAGAGGTCATGGATTGATTCCCAGTCAGGGCACATGCCCGGGCTTGTGGGCTCGATCCCCAGTAGGGGGCGTGCTGGAGGCAGCTAATTGATGTCTCATTGATAGTTCTATCTCTCTATCCCTCTCCCTTCCTCTCTCTCTCAATTCAATAAAAACATATTTCAAAACATTATTTTTTTTTAAAAAAAAGAAATACGTGGACCTGGGCAGGGAGCATTTGGCCAAGAGCATGGAGGGAAGGCAGACAGTGGATACGAGTTTGGGTGTGAAATCTGAAGACTGAAGAACTGCAAGCAGAAACCGGGCATTTCTTGCAAATAGCTTATGATGATGAAGTGAGTCTTGTAAAGCAAATACAGGATTGGCGGGGTGGGGTGGGGGGCGGGGGGCGGCATCAAGCGGAACCGAGCCTCAATTTCTGCATCTGTAAAGTGGGGATAATAATACCTAACTCACAGCGTCAGCGCGGGGAGTAACAGAGGATGCAGGTGAAATAATTGGCATAGGGTCTGGCATGCAGTACATATATACCCGGTGGTGCAGTTGTTTGGATTGAAGGATTGGTGGTGGTGGTGGTGGTGATGATGGGGGTGGTGATGGGGGTGGGGTGGTGTAATAGTTAGGGCGAGACATGTCTGCCACCGTGTAGAGGTGAAGAGCGCTCTGCCAGCCTCTTCTAGAGAGGGAGACAGAACAAGAGCCTCTCATGCCCCCCCCCCCCCCCCCCCCCCGTGGCTAATGCAGATCACGGGCAGAGTGGTTAAAAGCCAAGGCAGACGGAGCCGCAGGAGGACTGGAGTGAGTGGCGAGAAAGCTCTCAAGTCCTTCAGCTCCCTGCCTGCCCCCCATCGTCGCACTCACTCGGGGACTCCTGAGAGGGACAAAGGAGGCAGGAGCCGGGGGGTGCAGTGGCAGTTGGGCACGCAGTGTTCTTCCCGGGGTGAGAGGACATTGGGAGGGAATTAGACGCGGGAACATCTGAGAGAGGCAGGCTGAGGAGCCGGGCAAACACAAGGGATCGTCTGGTGTGCTTGAAGGTGCCCCCACCACCCAGGCTCCGCCCTGTGCGTACAAAGGACTGTTCTCAGCATCCAGCGAATCCTTCTGGAGTGCCCGCGTGCCTGGCACTGTGTCAACCCTCAGGGATCAGGAGTTTGCAATACAGAAATGGTCCCTGTCTTTGCGGCGCTGACTTCAGGCGTAGCCCAATCCAAATATTCGATGAGCAAAAGCATTCACCGTTACTTAGGTTCCTCAGCTAACGAAACAGTGCATTTAATCAAAAGGTGAAAAATTAATTTTTATTATTTTTAGAAAGAGAGAGAGAGAGAGAGAGAGAGAGAGAGAGACATCGATGTGAGAGAGACACATCAATTGGTTGCCTCCAGCACGTGCCCCGACCACGGCCAGGGGTCAAACCTGCAACCCAGGAATGTGCCCTTGAGCGGGAATCAGACCCGAGACCCTTTGGTGCGTGGGCCGACACCAACCACTTAGCCACACTGGCGTTTATATCTGTTTTTTGCAAAGGTGCCCAGCAGGCGCGGAGACATGGCCATAGGTCCCTGCTAGGAGCTCTGAGTGAATTTTTTCCTTGGCCATCACTGGGCCTCTTTGGCCTCTACCCCCCCCGGACACCAGGGTGCGCTGTAGCGCTTCCCAGTCCCGGCTGGACGGCGCGCTATCCCCACGTGGCTTCTCGCTACCCCGCACTTCCGGTGGATACCGGAAGCGGGGGCCTGAAGTCGCGGAGCCGGGTCCCGAAGCATGGCGGGGGCGGGGCCGGGGGCGGTGCGCGCAGAGCCGGCCGGGGGTCCCTAACCCCGGCCCTCTGAGCCGGGACCCACAGGTGAGGACCTCTCCTTCCCCAGCCCGGCTTCCCAGCCCGTCAAGCCCCCCCCACGAGGCCGCCCGACGGGGAGGCCCTGCGGCCCCCGCCTTCCCTCAGCCGGCCCGCCCCTGGCTTTTCTTTCCGGGGGGCGCCCCCTGGGGTGGGGGGTGTGCCCGCCCCTCGATCCTGGCAGGTGTGGAAGCCGTCACTAGCAGTTGAGGGATGTGTGCACCCGCCCCCGGGGGGAAACTGAGACCAGCCCAGGCAGGAGGAGTGCCGAGGAGCTCAGAGCGAGCCAGTGGTGCGCTCCGGCCGGGCTGGCGTTCGCTCCGTGAACAACCTGCGGGAGGCACGGTGGGGGCCGGCTCCAGGGCTGGGCCCCCGAGAGAGCGGAGGGGGCTTAAGTGGACGCGATTGTTGCCTGCCTGGGGCGTCCAGCAGCAAGCACCGCCGTGCAAGCGAACGCACAGATTCAAACCGGGACCGTCCCTTTGGGAGAGGCAGACACAGATCTAAGGGGAGGCCAGGTGTCGGTCTGTGGTCAGGGAAGGCTTCCTGAGGGTGGTGGCCCGTGAGCTGCAGGGGCCGGAGGAAATACATCCCTAGGCAGAGGGCACAGCCCCAGGCGGAGGGGCCCTGAGTTGGCAAAGGGCTTGAGGCCATGAGGCAGGTCCAGCCTTCAGGGCAGACAGGAGGCTTACGCTGTGTCCAGTACCGTGATGGGCGGACAGAACGCACCGTCTGCATGGACTGCGCAGGCGTGCACGCCGCTCCTACGCCCCAGACTTAAGTCAGGTGCAGAGAGAAAGTTGCAGGCAGGGCATGTGCCACGAAGGGGAGGATATCAGTATGTTACCTACGTGTAGGGCTCTCTGAACTTCTCGACTCTCAGGCTGACATTGGCAAAGCTGTGTTTCTGGGCTCGCGTCTGTTCCGTTGGTACGTTGTTGCCAGTGCCACACCTTTTGATGACCTGAGCTCTGTGATATGTTCTGAAATCAGGAAGCGTGAGTCCTCCACCTTTGTTTTCTTTTAGAAAAAAACTGTTGGCCTTTCGGGCTTCCTTGAGATGACGTGCACTTTAGGATACCTTTTACCGTTTTTGCAAAAAATGCTGTTGGGATTTTGATATGGATTACACTGAGTTTGTCGATTGCATTGGGTAGTATGGACATCTTAAGAGCCCGATACTAAATAAATAAATAAATAAATAAATAAATAAAAGCTTTTAAAATAAATGTACACTGAATGTGACTTTTTAAAAAATATATATATTTTATTGATTTTTTACAGAGAGGAAGGGAGAGGGATAGAGAGTTAGAAACATCGATGAGAGAGAAACATCAATCAGCTGCCTCCTGCACACCCCCTACTGGGGATGTGCCCGCAACCAAGGTACATGCCCTTGACCGGAATCGAACCTGGGACCCTTCAGTCCGCAGGCCAACGCTCTATCCACTGAGCCAAACCAGTCAGGGCTGAATGTGACTCTTACGTTGAACAAATTTCATGCAGATGTAGGTTTTTTTCCCCCTGTTGATTGTTCCCAACAGCTAAGCATGCTTTGAAGGTATTCCAGTTGAATTAGGTCCTCCTCACAAATCTCTTTCTAGACTCAGAAATGTCAGGACCACTTCCTGATGATAATCTGAGAAGGAGAAATGCTGATCCCTCTCATCTTGGGAGCTCCCGGGTGCAGGGTACAAGGAGGGAAAAATCTGTTCGACTTGTATAGGTTTTGGTAACTTCCGTTCGGTTTTCTTCTGCTTGATGTTTCCGTGTAGAGATGTGACAATGGATCATCATGTTTCCACCATCAAACCTCGCCGAATCCAGAACCAAAATGTCATCCACCGCTTGGAGCGCCGGCGCATCAGCTCGGGCAAGGCAGGCACCCACTGGCACCAGGTCCGCGTGTTCCACCAGAACGTCTTCCCCAACTTCACCGTGGTCAACGTGGAAAAGCCGCCCTGTTTCTTGCGTAAATTCTCACCCGACGGGCGCTACTTTATTGCCTTCTCTTCAGACCAGACGTCTCTCGAGATCTATGAGTACCAGGGCTGCCAGGCAGCCGAGGACCTGCTGCAGGGCTACGAGGGGGAGATCCTGTCCAATGGCAATGACCAGCGGTCGGTCAACATCCGCGGGCGGCTCTTCGAACGGTTTTTTGTCCTGCTGCACATCACCAACGTGGCGGCCAACGGGGAGCACCTGAACCGGGAGTGCAGCCTGTTCACCGACGACTGCCGCTGTGTCATCGTGGGCTCGGCTGCCTACCTCCCGGACGAGCCTCACCCCCCTTTCTTTGAGGTCTACCGGAACAGCGAGTCCGTGACCCCCAACCCGCGGTCCCCTCTGGAGGACTACTCCCTCCACATCATTGACCTCCACACCGGCCGCCTGTGTGACACGCGCACCTTCAAGTGTGATAAAGTGGTCCTGTCTCACAACCAAGGGCTGTACTTGTACAAAAACATCCTGGCCATCTTGTCGGTGCAGCAGCAGACCATCCACGTCTTCCAGGTGACGCCCGAAGGCACGTTCATCGACGTGCGGACCATTGGCCGCTTCTGCTATGAGGACGACCTGCTCACCGTCTCCGCCATTTTCCCCGAGGTTCAGCGGGACAGCCAGACGGGCATGGCCAACCCCTTCAGGGACCCCTTCATCAACTCCCTGAAGCACCGGCTGCTCGTCTACTTGTGGCGCCGGGCAGAGCAGGATGGGAGCGCCATGGCCAAGCGGCGCTTCTTCCAGTATTTTGACCAACTGCGGCAGCTGCGCATGTGGAAGATGCAGCTTCTGGATGAGAACCACCTGTTTATCAAGTACACGAGCGAGGACGTGGTCACGCTGCGGGTCACAGACCCGTCACAGGTGCGAGGCGCTCTCCTGCCCGTTACCGCCCCCCCCCGCCCCCCCCTGCCCCCCCCAGTCTCCTTGACAGAATGTGATGGCTTTTCTCTTTGTCTATAGCCAACCTCAGAAATACACGTTCTATGTGATCTTAAATATTTGCTATCCCAGGGCTCAGTCCAACTTAAAACAGCTGTTTTTCTCTGCCCACATGTATTTCTTCAGATAAATGGAAGTTAAAGCTCAAGCCATTGACACGTAGAGCGTCACCTCTGTGATTATTGCCCTCTACCTTCTGCAGAGGTAATTTTTATTTTGTTTTATTTTTAAAAATATTTTTCTTGATTTCAGAGAGGAAGAAAGAGGGATAGAGAGATAGAAACATCAGTGATGAGAGAGAATCAATGATTGGCTGCTTCCTGCACGCCCCCTATTGGGGATCGAGCCTGCAGCCCGCGCCTGTGCCCTGACCGGAATCGAACTATGACCTCTGGTTCATAGGTTGATGCTCAACCCCTGAGCCACGCCGGCCGGACGGCAGAGCGTTTTTAGGACCCTTGAGGCGGAAGCCCGGATGCTGCGAGGTTCAGGTGCGGACTGGACTGCCTGTGGATAAGCCTGCCTCGATTTTGTAAGACTGTCCTTGTTGTCTGACTGTCTTAGTTCTGGCAGCGAGAATGAGCCCACCACACACAGACAGGGAACCCTCGGAAAAATCTACCGCTCTTTCCTGCTTAACTGGTTAATGCCAGTATACTTCTTCACAGTCTTCTTCCAAAGGCAACTGCTAGGCACGTTCATGTCACAGGGTTACGTTTTATGACTTTACCTTGACCTTGCCCATGTGCTGAAAGGTACAGGTTGTAGAGCAGTAAACCATCAAAAGGATCTCAAAGTTTGGATCCCCCAAGTGATTCATCAGGACTCCAGGTCCTGAGGTCTTTTCCAGTTTGAGTGAAAGATGTTGGCAGGGGAGAGAGGCACTCCCATCAAATGGGAGTAAGATGTTGGTAAGAGCACGGAAACCTTTAAGATTCTTGGATTGAAACATCGTGTTGAAATTCAGGGTAATCTTAACATTTCTCTCTCTCTCTCTTTTTGTTAATCTTCTCCCAAGTATATTTTTTCTGTTGATTTTTTTAGAGAGAGTGAGAGGGAGGGAGGAGGGGGAGAGAGAGAAACATCGATGTGAGAGAGACACACCCGTTAGTTGCCTCCTGCACACGCCCCACCCCAGGGCTGGAGGTTGAACCTGCCTCCCAGGTACATGCCCTTGACCGGGAATTGAACCTGCGACCCTACAGTGCACGGGCCGACACTGACCATTGTGCAGGACTGGCCAGAGCAAGGGCATTTCCCTTTAAGAACGCTCCATGTCAGTGTAGACGGAGTAAGAGACCACCGTTCTGTACCTTTGCCCCATGCTCCTGTTTCCAGATTGTCTCCTTAGATGCTAGCTTGCAAATTCTGTACAGAGGGCAAACCTGAGGTTGGTATCGCTCCTTGACCTGCAGCTGATTCTGCCACTAAGAGAGACTGGACAGGACGCTCTCTCCTAAGGCCTGACCAGCCATCTGTGGTGAAATGTTTCCGACGTTTTTCTTCTGAGTCGTAGTTCAGGAATTCTTTAAAAAACGGGGAGTGCTGTGGTTTAGAGATCGTTTTGTTCTGGACTCCTTTCCTTCCGTGTCAGTGATGAAGGCACCCGCAGAGCCATCGTGGGGGAGCATCCAGTTCGTCTTACTGTCCTGGGAGATGGGCGGTGAGACCCCGACTTCTGTAGCCTCCCGTCCCGTGTTTCCCAGTGTCCCGGAGGCAGGTTTAGGAGTTGCTGGTGTAATTCTACGGTCACATGATGATGATGGTAGATCTTGGCGAAGCCCTGATAGGACCGAAGTGTGGTCCCTTCTGCAGAAAGGACACGAGTCCATGTTTGTTTAGGTCTGAGCTATGATTACCTTTTTGTTTTGGAGGGAATACGATGTCTGTAATGGCTGCACTTGAGAGCATCCACTTTTTCTTTGCTAACCATGACCTATTTATTTCTGAAAGCTGTAGCCAGAAACATTACTGGGGCTCTGTGCTTTGCTTCCCAGAGGTTGTAACTTTAAACCCAATCTCTCTGCCCTAGTTGTCTCTTCCGCCTGTTTAATTTGATAGGTTCCAATAAGGTTAATGAGTAAAAAGTGCATCCAAAACAAAGCCTGGCTAATATTAGGGGTATTAGTCTCAGGTTACCCCCCAGCCTCTTTCATTTGCAGCCAAATTTAATTTCCAGGGGTTCACAAAAGTCATGTAACATAAGCTCTGGGAAGGACGAATGACTAGTCAAACAGGTGGGCCAAATGGCACCAGAAATTGTTAATGGAGATTTAAACTTAATCATCGGAGGGGGACTACTAATCTCAGTGTTCTGGAAACGTCTGGAGGCCTATTAGAAGCTTGCGGATGGATGGCCCTGTTACACTCGCTGACAGAAACTGGGTTCCATTGCTTCCCTGGTCGGCCGAGCAGAGCACTGGAGGTTTAAAGGAAGCGGCCCCTCACCCAGGGGTCCTGCAGAAAAAGCGGTAGCTCTGCCCCCATGGCATTTGAGTGCTTGTCAGCTCCCTCCTCTGAGATTCGCTATAAATTGCAAATGTCTCTCTCTACAAATGCCTGGGCTGAAAGAACATTTAGGACAGAAGTGGAAAATCCTCTCTGAGTTTTCATTTGCTCAGCAGCAGTGCCCTGCTTGGTTTCAACTTGCCTGGGCAGCTTTAGGGCAAAACGGACTTAAGGCGGCTCTCTGCGTGCTAGACATAGTAAGAGGAAACGGAAATGCCCCGAAATTGAACTTTCCGCTGGATGTATGTATACAAGAGAACATAATCTGTCAACAGGCAACCCCAGGCCGCAAATCACTTTCTCAGCAGGAAGGAAATTAAATCTGGCATTTTAAGAAAGCATTTTTTTATCTGTCTCAGGGTGGGCTGGGTGCAAGTAGGGAGTAAACACTTGGAAGGAAAAATACTGAATTTGCACAGTTGGAAATGGAAGATGGAAAGCCTTTCCATACCTAGATGCTGGCCAATTCAATCATTTCAGCAGTGCAGATACAGTGGGACATCTGGCCACACGAAGCCTTGACTAGGAAAGCCCTCCAAGGCCCCCCCACTTTTCCCAGAAACACGGGGAGCCATGCCGGAGCCGTGGTGCTGGAGCGGGGGCGGTTCATGTTTCCCCGGGGTAGCCTGACTTCTCAGCCAAGTGATGTTGGCCAGGCATGGCGTTACACTCAGCCGTCCCTTAGCGCTCTCTGTTCCCCTGCAGGCGTCTTTCTTTGTGGTGTACAATATGGTGACAACAGAGGTGATCGCGGTGTTTGAGAACACGTCCGACGAGCTCCTGGAGCTCTTTGAGAACTTCTGTGACCTCTTCCGGAACGCTACCCTGCACAGCGAAGTCCAGTTTCCCTGCTCAGCGTCCAGCAACAATTTTGCAAGGCAGATCCAACGCCGGTAAGCTGTTCCACCGCGCTTAACAGGCCTAGTTTTTCTTAAATTTTCTTAATTTGTTGCTGTGACATCAGTAGTCATTTACTTCAGAAAACCATGCGACAATCTTATCCTCCATTCCATATATCTATGTCATCTCCCCTACAGAATTCTCTCCTAATGTAACATTTTGTGTATCATCTTATCATACTTTGCTGCATCAAAATATAATATATATATAAATTAAACTTATTTTTTTTCTTGGGAACACATTGGTCTAAATGCTCAATTTTATAGTCTTCAAAAATCTTTTGGTGGAGGTAAATGAAAATGGATCCATTATCGGTTAGAAGAAATGTTTCAGAGAAAATAAGTTATCAAGGATCATGAGTCATTTAAGAAAATCTTTGTCTTGAAAGGTATAGAGACCAAACTAAAACAAACGGAATAAAGAAACAACATGCGACTGAAATAATTCAAGCCATAAGAACAGGAACATTCCTAGAACAGTGACACTTTAGAAATTTAAAATTTCTTAGATATAGTTGAAGAACTCTCCAAGAAAGTAATGTAAAAAGAGAATAAAAATGGGAGAGAAAAGATGGAAAAGAAGTTAGAGGATTTGCCCAGGCGACCCACTATCTGGCTAATCCCAGAAGGATTAATCAAGAAAGTGAAGGGCATGTCATCATGAAACTTCGAAGCACGGGGGATAAAGAGAAAATTGTAAAAATTTTCAGAAAAAAACATCTCACATATAAAAAAATAAGTCATCAGAATGGCATTGGACAGACCAGTCACAACATTGAAAGCTTGAAGCCATTAAAATCCTGCCCTCAGACTTCTCCAAAAAAATGACTCCTAATTTAGAATTCTAACAATGGAGCAAAGACATTTTCAGACATGCTGTCTCAAATAATTACCCCCCATGCCCCTTTTCTAAGGAAGCATCTGGAAGATGCATTTTACCAATAAACACAAAAGAATGGTGCCGTTTGACAGTGGAGAGCAGCAGAGAGAATTCCAAGGATGACGGGAAAGGGAAGTTCCAGGGTGACAGGCCAGCAGCCAGACACCGAGCACACAGACCGGGCAGTTATATGCATTTTAAACTTTGTTTGTAGAGTCTTTTTTTAAATAATTAACTTTTCTAAAGTAATGTTCCCCATTTCTAATTCCGTTTTCTGCTTCTTGAGAGTATTGGAAGCTAGCCAGGCTTGTGCTATGTGTGAGTTCTGACTTCGGTGAATATCCGGATTTTTATTGACAGAATGAATTGTTTTTAGACATATGTTGGTCATTTAAAAAAAAACGTGTGTCTGCAAACACAGCTTTCATCACTGGTGCTTTCTTTCAGGTTTAAAGACACTATTGTGAACGCCAAGTATGGGGGGCACACCGAGGCCGTGCGCCGGCTGCTGGGCCAGCTCCCCATCAGCGCCCAGTCCTACAGTGGCAGCCCCTACCTCGATCTGTCGCTCTTCAGCTACGATGACAAGTGGGTGTCCGTCATGGAGCGGCCCAAGACGTGTGGCGACCACCCTATCAGGTACAGCGTCTGCAGTTATCAGCTCGTGGTCCAGGGCCGGTCCTGCCCGCTTTCTCTCTCTCTTCTTCTTGGGCATCGTTTTATGTGATTGTGTCCTTCCTACTCGTGGGTTGAATTGGAAGGGGGCAGTTTCTGTGATGTGGTGGGTGCTCTGATCACAGAGGCAGTGGTCTCATAATGAGCAGCTTCTACTCTGCTTCTCACCAAAGCATCCACTTCAGGTACGTGTTTCCTTTCAAAGGTATCCAGGGCAGGAAACCATACTTTTCCATTTAGTAATCGAATACCATTTCATAATGATGTTTATGGCTCAGCTCAAGTGATTGCATCCCCCCAGTTACCTACTGGAAATGATAGCAGGGACAATATGGGGAACAGGAGGTTTTAGAGAAACTCAGCTTCCTCATTTTGGGAGTTTGGGGATGTAGATTTGAAATGTACTTGTAAAAATATTTCAGTATTATTGCTGGAAGGGTGCAACTCGCCTCTGAGAGCCAGTCCCTTCCCTCATAGATGCCCGGTTCACAGACCCACCTGTCTCCACGTCGGGAGCGTGTGTTGCTCTGTGGGCTGTAAAGGGTGCTGGGGGGAGTTGTCACCATCGTCACTGGGGCTATTTCAGGGCAGCTGGTGTGTTCCTGGGGCCCAGAGATGGAGCGTGAGCCTTTTTCACGTAGAAACAGTGCAGTTAGTATTTCATAATTCAGCTTTAATGTGTATAAACTAGGTTTGTATACAATAATTCTGTACAGTTAATCACCCCAGTTGCAGTCCAGTTCCAAAGCCCAGTTGAAATTTTTTTATTATGGAAAAAATTTAAACATATAAAAAATAGAAGCGTATAATAAGCCTCCACGTACCCATCCCCTCACTCAGCAGTTATCAGCTCGTGGTCAGAGTGGTTTCGTCTTCCTGCCACCACCTACTTTCTCCCCTCGCGACTGCCACCCTGGGTGGTTCTGACGTAACCCCCAGGTGTCATAACACTTTCCTCTTAAACATTTCAGTATGAATCGTTAAAAGATAGGGACTTAAAATACAACCTCATTACCATTGTTTCATCTGGAGAAAGTGAGCAAAACTTTATTGACAACCCCAAATATCGAATCAGATTTCACAGTAGCCTGTTGTCTCGGGAGTATTCTTTTTACAGTTTGTTTCTTCCAAATAAGGATCTACACAAGGTGCCTACCTTGCATGTGGCCACTATTTTTTTGTCTTTTTTATTCTGTACATCCTGTTTCCCTCTTATTTTCCTGGCAGCGAAAGTGTTGAGGAAACCAGGTTGCTCATCCGGTAACGTCCCACACATCCTAGATTTTGCCCATTGCATCCCGGGAGTAGTAGTTACCATCTTTCTCATTCCGCCATATTCCCTGTAAACGGATAGTTAGATTTAGAAGCTCAGAGCTCACTTTAAATTATAAGCCCGTTGTGTGTGGGGACTCTGTGGGTGAGGTGAATGTGCTCTCACACACCAAAAGCACGTAGCGGGTCTCATTCGATGTGGTCAGATGGCATGAGCTCCCTTCCTCTCCTTTCTGACCTCCTCGCCTTTCCAATTGGAAAAGTTAACCTCATAGACACACCTGGAAATGCCATTTTCCTGACTGAAGGGTTTTTTCTTGTAGTTCTTATTTACTTATAATTTAAAACGGGAACCGTGAGGACACTAAAAGCCCAGGAAGAGGTAACGCCAGGACACCTTTATTGGGCCTTCCATTCTCGTCTGCCAGCATGCATGTCTACATTGCACAGTGTACTGGGGTCAGCACGATACTTCGTAGTCGGCTTTTATCTTGTAATGGTTCCCATGTTGTTACGTGGTCCTCACAGTTACATGACGCCTGTAATGACGGCCTGTTATTCCATCGGGTAGATGCACCGTACTTCATGTCACCGTTCCCCTGTGACTGAGCGTTTATTCTCTTTCTGCTTTTCCCCGGTAGGGCTACTGCTGTGGCAGCCATCTCTATTCATGCCACTATTTACTTCATTTAAATTCTGAGGTCATAAATTCTTGGAAATGGAATTATTGAGTCAAAGGATAGGAATATGTTTATGTCTATTATATATTTGCTTCCCAAAGGGGGAAATAGAGTTATTTAATTCAGGCTCTTCATTTTCTAGACCTTCCCTCAATTAACCCTCAACCCCGATGATCATCTGTAGTTCTCATTACCACAGGGCACTTTGCATTATGGGTATTTAAGAGCTGGGATGGAGGGAGTATCTTGAGTCTTACTATATTAGATAAAAAATGAAAAACTACTTAGTATTTTGTTTTTGTATGTGAAAAGAAGAGTCTCCAATAGAGTCTATTCTCCGCAAATTTAATAAAAGAATTTATTCTTAAAAATGAAAAATTCAAATATGAGTGTAGATCTGCATTGTCCTCTGTGGTAGCCACTAGCCACACGTGCCTATTGAGCACTTAAAATGTGGCCAGTCCAAGGGGAGGTTTGCTCAAGTGTCAAATGCATATCAAATTTCAAAGGTTTAGTCCAAAAAAGAATGTATAATATCTCATTAATATATTTTATATTGGTGGTAGATTGAAATGATATTTTGGATGTCAATATTGGATTAAATAAAATATATTATTAAACTTAATTTCACCTTAAACATTTTTTAATGTGGCTACCTGAAATTTCAAATTGCATACTAGTACATGGCTCACCTTTCATTTCTAGCCCTCGCCTGGACAGTTTTGGGGTAGATAGCTTTGGGAAAGGGGGAGGCTGTAATTAGGGTTGTAGCTAAGGGCTGTCTTGGGAAAGAGAAGTGACCCATTGGCTTAGGACAACATAGTAAGGTTCGTAATCTCCCTGCCCCTAAAATGAGCGGCCAGATGTGGGTGATTTTGCAGTTGCGATGAGCTGGGGCTGGTGTAAGGGGATTTCCCTGCTGTGCACATTTCATGGTGGTGGTGAGTATCTACACCGTCCTCTCTCTCTCTCTCTCTCTCGTTCTGTTTAGGTTCTATGCTCGGGACTCTGGTCTGCTCAAGTTTGAGATCCAGGCAGGCTTACTGGGCCGCCCCATCAACCACACAGTGCGACGCCTTGTTGCCTTTACGTTCCACCCCTTTGAGCCCTTTGCGATTTCTGTGCAGAGGACTAATGCTGAGTATGTCGTCAACTTCCACATGCGGCACTGCTGCACGTAGGGGCCTCCCCACAGCCAGCCTCTCTGTCTTCCAAGACGTTTCCCTTCCTGTCTCACGGACTAAAGCACACGCTCCAGACGGGCCCGTGGACCTCAGATGGGGAGGGCTGAGGGGGGAGTGCGGGCGGCTCAGCCTGACGGAAGTCTTCATTGTGTAAAAGAAACTACTGATTGTTTTAGAGCCCTCTTGCTTTTTCCCTGTGGGAATGTCCAGCACTAATTAGGTTCAGTTATTTCTGTTTTAATTTGCATTTTATTGCTATGAGGATGAGAGCATTACCCCCTTCGGGCCCCTTCCTTGGCATTATGTCTGCATCCTGTAGCAGGTAACTCATGTTTACTCACGAGAACTGTGTACACCCTTTCTACTTAGCCAACAAGCAGGGCTGTCTTTATAAGAAAACAGAATAAAGCCTTGATATTTTCTTACTGAAATATATCCTGTTTGATGACTGCCTTATGTTCTGATCTCAGCAAATGCTTTTCAAATACCCGGGTTCCAGGAAGGACTGTGAAAGGCGCCAGAGGCCGTGGATCCAGCAGCTGCTCTTGGGAGAAGGAAGTGTGTGTGCCAGCATGGAAGATAGCCATCTGCCAGGATTGTTTCCCTCCCTCGGGTTTTCTCCGGGGAACTGCTACAGCTGCAGGGGCTGGGCGTAATTGCATGTTCTCGCGTGGAAGCATGCGCCCATCTGGGCCGTCTGGCCGTGCAGGTGGGAGAGTGAGCAGCTCTGTGGCCACGGTAGAGACAGACGCTGTTGAGCACGTACTGCAGTCGGGGCAGTGGGAGCTGGCAAGCGCCAGTTGTCCCTCGAGGGATCAGACTGGTTGTTCCTGGACGGTTGAGCCATCACAGCTGCCCTGCAAACACCTGCCGGCGCCAGCCTGTCACATTCTCAGCTGTCTCCTCCAGGGGGCTTGTCAGGCTGTTAGGTTTCATCTTCATAACGTGCCCATTGTTCGTGTCGCGAACTTGCCGGGTGACATCTGAGTGCGACGGTAGCTTTGGAAGGAGCCATGGCTGTAGACAGCTGGCCCTGTACCCTTCCACTGCCACAGCGACTTCCCTGGGGACCTAGGAATGGGAGAGGAGATGCCAAGCCCCATCAAAACATTTTGGGAGATTTTATCATTGTCATTTAGTTAGTACTCAACACAGGATCTGACCACCTGTGTTCACCTGCGAGGAGTCAGGTAGGTGCTGTGGCAAGATGTTGAGGAGAGAAAGAGGCAGATGAAGGGAAAGCTCCAGTACTGTCTGGGACTTCTGGGGCAACATTTCTTTAAGCACACAGCCCCCCATTTCCCCTATCCCGCACCCTACGATCATACTCGGGAAGCCTTAGGGTGAAGCTGACCCTCAGGATGGCAGAATGAAGGGAAGAACCCGGACCACCGATGGCAAGGGTGACAAGCTCACGACCTGGGAGCCCGGCTGCCATCTGGATTTCCAGGTCTGTGAGCAGTACGTTTCCTGCCGTTGAAGGCATGAATCGGGCTTTGCTCCCGGCAGTGAAAGCAATCAGTAGGTGCAGAGAGAAAGGCAGGGCCCCAGAGGAGAATCTTGGTCCTGAGTCCCTGCTGCTCGGCACCGGTTCAGTTCCAGTTGTCAGGAGACCCTGTGCTTGATTCCTGTCCTGGGGTTTCTGTAAGATGCCTGCCTCTCCCACGGTCCCTGCAGCCACACCGGAGCTGGCCTGGAGGTTTCTTGTAGCTAAAAGGACTTAACCTGAAATGGGAGATAAAGCACTCGGCCTATTGAGTACTTGACCCACGTTAAGTTCTCAACTCCTACGTGTTTGCTTGTATTAACGTCGTTTCTAAAGGATTCAAGGCTGCTCAGTCAGTCTGTGTCTTCGCTCCACAAATGTCCAATGGATCTCAAGGATCTTTGGAGAAAAAGATCTTTGAAACAAAAATGTGTTGTTTTTTTTAAAATATTTTTATTGATTTCAGAGAGGAAGGGAGAAGGAGAGAGATAGAAACATCAATGATGAGAGAGAATCATGGATCGGCTGCCCCCTGCACGCCCCCCACTGGGGATTGAGCCCGCAACCCGGGCATGTGCCCTTGATTGGAATCGAACCCGGGACCCTTCAGTCCATAGGCCAGTGCTCTATCCGCTGAACCACACCAGTTAGGGCTGGAACCAAAATGTTTAAGAAAAGCAGTAAGTTTGGGGGCCTATATCTTCCAGATGCAAATTCTTCCCTGAACCCCTCTCTGCTCAACCCTACTCTTCCGGGAGCTGACTTGTCAGTGATCCATGCAAAGCTACTCGGGACCTTTGAGAAGAGAAAGGTTCCCTTTAAATTTAGCCGAAGCCCTTCCATTCAGAGTCCTCGCAGAAAAGCATGGCATAAATCAGTGAAAACCCTAAATTAGATAATTTTTAAAAGAACGGCAGCTTCATTATTTTCAAGTACACAGAGTCACTCCATCTCAGCCACGAGTGTGCCTTTGTAGAAGCCCTTTGGGGCGTTCCTTAATGAGTAGATGATAATTATTGCTAATCAGCATAACGGCGCTCTGCAATGCGTGCTCTGAAAGCAGCGGAGCACATTAAGCGGTTTGAATGTTCCAGGGGGCAATTTTGTTTACAACATTAATCTGCTCGGTGGTTACCCTTTATAGCTATAACTCTGTTGTTTTTTAAAAAAACAAAACTCTGCCCTGACCGGTTTGGCTCAGTGGATAGAGCGTCGGCCTGCGGACTGAAAGGTCCCAGGTTCGATTCCGGTCAAGAGCATGGACCTTGGTTGCGGGCACATCCCCAGTAGGAGATGTGCAGGAGGCGGCTGATCAATGTTTCTCTCTCATCGATGTTTCTGACTCTCTATCCGTCTCCTATCCTCTCGGTAAAAAATCAATAAAATATATTTAAAAAAACAACCCCCCCCACAAAACTCTGAAGCCTCCATCACGCAGCATTTGATTCTGAGGCAGACACGATGCAGGCAGCAGAGCAGGCCGTGGGTCCCTCGCCCAGCGTGTCCTGGTGGAATTATGGGAACACCTCAGGCTCGCAGTGAGCCTGGTGCACCCCCGGGCTCCCTCACCTGCCAGCCGTGTCCTAAGGACTTCACTGATACTCAGTGTCTCCTCGTAAAACAGGGACAGCTTCTACTTTGCAGGGTTGATGTGGGCATTGAGTATTGATAGAAGCTCTTTATACAGTGAGGACTCCGGACAGCGAGGAAGGCTAGCTGCCTTCTCCTTCTCTCTAGATCTCTTGGCCTCTTTAGTGTCACAGAGGGTGTGTGCGACTCTCGTAGCAGCTCTCCATCCCCTGATGACCCAGCACCATAAGCGCGGCGCCCCTCCAGGCGCAGCCCCTGCTCACCCACCCGAGACTGGCGGCCTCAGAGGTGGTGCCGTTCTGCCACCCGCACACCCAGGCGTGAGAAGACCCCAGCAGCCCTGACCCTTTCATAGCCAGGTGCATTGGCCGGCAGGAGCTTGCTCTGCTGAGAGCTTGTCGTCGTTGATTGTGAACGTTTATTAAGAGCTTACGACGGCCCGGAAGCTGTGCTGTGCACTCACAGGGGAAGGTGTGTCAGGTCATCAATTCTGAGATGCATTTTTATTTATTTATTTATTTATTTAATTGATTTCAGAAAGGGAGAGAGAGAGAAACATCAATGATAAGCGTGCAATTGTGATCAGTATATTCTCGTTGTTATGCAAGCAATCTGCAACGTTTTCATCCTGCAAAACTGAAACTGTACCCAGGAAACAACAGTTCCCCATTTGCCTCCCCGCCCAGCCCCTGGTAACCACCATTCTGCCTTCTGTTTCCGTGCATTTGACTACATTGGGTACCTCACACAAGTGGAGTCACACAACATTTGTCTTCTTTGTCTAGTTTATTCCACTGAGCATAAGGCCCTCAGGGGTCCTCCGTGTTGTATCATGTGTCAGAATTCCCTTCCTTTTAAGGCAGAATCACATTTCATTGCGTGTAGGACCGCATTTTGTTTACCCATCCATTCATCAAAGGACATCTGCGCTGCTTCCACTCCTTGACCATTGCGACGAGTGTTTCTATGAACACGAGTGTGCAAATATTTCTTAGAGATCCTCTCACTGCTTTTGGAAATGTACCCAGAAGTGGGCCTTAATGAGCTTTAAGAAGTGGTTACCCAGTGCACTCACCCACAGCCGTAGAAGGGGTACAGGCAGACACTGTGGGCCCGTTGAGTTGACTAGTCTGAGGCCACGGTTTTGACTTTACCAGCCTCCCGGGGGCTTAGCAATTGCAGCCCGGCCCCCTGAGTCTTGCCTGGCTCAGGCAGGAGGGGCCTGAGCAGGCGTGTGAACCCGCTGCGCCCTGCCTGCTCCTGCCTGCATTAATTCGGCACATTTCTATCGCTCCCCGAAGGAAGAGACGCTTCGGCAACATTTAATTAGCGGCCAGGAACATGCTTTCCCAGGGACACGACTTATTTCTCAGCCAGCTGTTGCCAGTTGCTTCCTAGCAACATGCAGCACTCACATCTGATTGCTTCTCCAGGCGAGGGGGGTGCCTGGCCCACCTGCTGTCACAGCTGGGGGGGTGGGGGGTGGTGTGTGTGTGGGACCCCGGGTCTAGGGCTGATTTTCCAGAGGAAGTGAGTGATCTGAACCGGTTACTCCTGCAAAGCCAGACAGGTGCTGAAGCATCTAGAGCAGCGGTTCTCAACCTGTGGGCCGCGACCCCTTTGGGGGTCAAACGGCTCTTTCACAGGGGTCGCCTAAGACCATCGGAAAACACATATAATTACATATTGTTTTTGTGATTCATCACTATGCTTCAATTATGTTCAATTTGTAACAATGAAAATACGTCCTGCATATCAGATATTTACATGACGATTCATAACAGTAGCAACATGACAGTGATGAAGTAGCCACGAAAATAATTTTATGGTTGGGGGTCACCACAACATGAGGAACTGTATGAAAGGGTCGCGGCGTGAAGAAGGTTGAGAACCGCTGCTCTAGAGCCTTGAACGCCCTTGCCCACCCCTCTTCTTCAAGTTCATGATTAGAGCAGGCAGAAGGAATGCCACCAGCTGCAGCACAGACCGCAGCCTGGCCCAGGAAAGTGCGCTGGGGTGGGGTGCAGCTAGGGAAGAGTCTCGCCCCGCAGGAGGCAGAGCCTGCCCCTCAGAACGAGGGTGTGGGGGGCCCTGGGCCACTCTGGCGTGGGCCAGGGGAAAGGAAAGCCTTATTTCAAGACACCCGCCAGCTGCTTTAGCTTCCAGGGGCTTGGAAAGAGGGAGAGGGAAGGGCAGTGTCAGCGGTGGCCCTGCCCTGGACCTGCCAGGCCTCAGGGCATCTGAGGGCTGCTCAGGGACCAGACTTCAGACCCCCCTCTTCCCAGAAGCTTCTGCAGAGGCTGCGGCTGGAGCCTTTGGGAGGAGGGGCTGCTCAGGGACCTGCTGCGTTCGGCATACGTGGTGGTTTTAGTTTGAAGATCTGTAGGACAGCCTGCTTATTCATGTTGCCGTCCGGAGGCCAGCCCCCCGTGGGGCCCCTTTGGACTGAGCGTGTGAGCCTCCGGCTTGCGCACCCATCACCCGTCCAGCGGCCTGTCTCAGGTGTGGCCCCTGCGCCCTCTCCATCCGCAGTGGTGAGTGAGGGGCCCCTGGTATTTGCTCATTTACTTGGTTCACAAGCATCTCCTGAGGTGCTTCTGAGCATCAGAGGCTGAGCTTCAGAAAGGTGTGTCTTTGCAAGTCCCCAGTTATGGACCAGAATGGGCAGCGGACATGGAGGCAGACTGGGAGGCACTCTCCCAGCCAGAGGCCGAGGGACCTGCCCGACGGTGGGGCCCAGGAAGGCTTCTGGCAGAGATTCTCTCTCATCGTTGATGTTTGTATCTCTCTTCCCCTCCGTGTGTGTGCGCGCACACACACACACACACACACAGGCTGCATGTCACAGACACACACAGACTGCACGTCACACACATACAACACACATACACAGGCTGCACATCACACACAGACAACACACATACACAGGCTGCATATCACACACACACACATACACAGGCTGCATATCACACACACACACACACACACACACCCCCAGGCTGCATGTCACAGACACACACAGACTGCACGTCACACACAGACAACACACATACACAGGCTGCATATCACACACACACACACACACACAGGCTGCATGTCACAGACACACACAGACTGCACGTCACACACAGACAACACACATACACAGGCTGCATATCACACACACACACACAGGCTGCATATCACACACACACACACATACACAGGCTGCATATCACACACACACACACATACACAGGCTGCATATCACACACACACACATACACAGGCTGCATATCACACACACATACACAGGCTGCATATCACACACACACACACACACACACACAGACACTCACACACGTCTGGCCCCTGACTGACACATGGGTAGAAAGTGCTGGTCAGTTGGCCCGGCATCTGTTCTCTCAGGGCCACACGGCTTCGCCCTGGGTCTGGGCAGGTGCAAGTGAGTGTTTGAAGGGTTAACCTGGCATTTTCAAGCCCGACTCGCTTTTCCCATTTCTAGCCAGGCCATGGGGAAGGCAGACCCTGCTCGGGCTCCCCTTCCAGCTGCTGCTTATCGATGAGGTGAAAATGGGAAGCCGCCACCTCTCAGGTCCCCGCTGTGCAGGCAGAGGCCGCCTGCCTCAGCCTGCAGACACCTACCTTCTAGGTGTGCGTTTCACACCGTGTGCGCCAGGCCACAGCGAGCCCGTGCAGGGGGAGGCCGTGTCCTGCCCACACCGTCTCTCGGAAACACAGCGTGTGGCTGTGCTCGGGCCTCTTGGTGCTGCCCGGGCCCGGCACCCAGGGCGTCTCACACGGCAGCACCACAGTGAGCCCACCCACGTCAGAGGCTCCCCACAGTGTCAGGTTCACGCCTATGTCCACCTAAACAGTGACAGTGGGTCACCCCCAACTTCTCCGTTTCATCCCCCTCAGTGACACTGTCATTTGTTTAGTCTCCCAG